TTTGGACAGGGCCGGGTTCAAACCCGCCACCCTCGGTATATGGGGCCGGTGCCCTACCCACTGGGCCACAGGCGCTGCCCATAAATATTTGTTTTTATTTACATGATGTGTTGTTTCCACTCAATCCGCTTTCTGAAATATGTGGGAACAACAGAGCCTCGCGTTAGAGGCCTGGGTTCTGACTTGGGGTATGTCCCATAGAAGCTATGTACACAAGGGCAAGTCCTTTTACATCTGTGATCCTCCCCTTCCCTAGCTAGGGTTCCTGGGAGGATCAAAACAGGCGGAGAGTGAGAACACTCTGAACAGTAAACTGCTGTGTAATTATTATTCTATAGTATGTGACAAACACAATTTCTGAGAAGACTTAGGAAATGACATAAAGGAACGTCGAGCTCAGATATTTGATAAGTGGTCAAAGAGATGATTTTTCATTAATATCGTGACTCTATAACTTCGGGACCTGTAATATTATGACAATATTAACTTGGCTGTTTTCTCCATCTGCTATGGAAGTGGCAATTATTGGTAAGCCACTACTAAAAATTGTTAGTAATAAAGAATAATGGATTAAGTACCTCCCCCTCCTTCTTCTCTTCAAATATTATGAAAACACAATGGATATTTTAGCCATTTTAGGACTGCAAATTATCATGTGTTAATAGAAATATGAGTTGTTTAGCCATCTGATGGCACCACAGAAATAAGAACCTTTTCTCTCGTTTTAACTTAGAGTATATTGAGTGTATTTTGCCATTGGTTCTTGGACCACAAATACTTAGGGTTTTTTGTTAATTTCCTACCCACAAGCACAGTAGTAGTTTGCTTAGAGGAAATAATTACTAATTGCTCAAAAAGCTGACTTCAATTTGTTACCAGAAAATGTGGGTGCCATAGAGAAAGGCTGTTAGAATAAGGAAACACTTATTTTTTTAGTATCCTACTGGGTTTTTCTGAGATTTAGATTTGTTTTGATTATTTGATTTGTTTATTTCCAGAAACTAAGCATTTTATTTTCCATTTTGCCAGTTCTGCTTGATATTTAAAGGGCCTGACGCATTTGGAGTGGTTCCAAAGCTGAACGGTTTTTCATTTACAATAGAGTAATTCCCAGGACGCCACAGCATAGGGAGAGAGTCATCACAGCCTGGCTTCTTCGACGGATTTGGAGTGTTAGCATGTGCTTTTTAAAAAATGTTCAAAACCATTATGACTGCTTGGAGGAATAAAAATACTTTTTATTCCTACAATACTTTTGTTTCACAGAAAATGGATAGCATAGTCAGGCGGATAGTACTCTTAACGATGAACTTGACAACGGGTAAAATGTGAGTAGATTTTCAACATATGTGATGATTTATTAGAGATTAGGAAAGACACGTCTAAATACAAATCTTTGTAATGACCAGGCCATCGCTAGGGAAAGGATGAGGAGTTTGTAGAAAATGTAGGAAGAGGAAAGGACATCTCAAGCCCAATCATTTGTGTTTTTCTTTTTTTTGAAACAGAGTATCACTTTATCACCCTCAGTAGAGTGTCGTGGCCTCACAGCTCACAGCAACCTCCAACTCCTGGCAGGGGTCCTCAAACTTTTTAAACAGGTGGTCAGTTCACTGTCCCTCAGACCTTTGGAGGGCCAGACTATAGTTTTAAAAGGACAGACAGGAGCGGCAAAAACACCCAGCGGGCCGGATAAATGTCCTCTGCGGGCCGCAGTTTGAGGATGCCTGGCTTAGGCAATTCTCTTGCCTCGGCCTCCCGAGTAGCTGGGACCACAGGTACCCACCACAACACCCAGCTGTTTTTGGTTGCAGTTTGACCAGGCTGGGTTTGAACCTCCCACCCTCTGTATATGGGGCCGGCACCCTACCCACTGAGCCACTGGCACCGCTAGTGTTTTTCTTTTCGTACTTGTAACCAGAATACTAGCCACAATCAGGTTTCTCTACTAATTTAACTGGAAAATTAGAGACTACAGAATCATCATCACTTTGTGCACCATTTTTGTGTTTCTGGATTTGCTAACTCTGTTTTGTGTTGAGAATTCTCCGTTCCCTGTAAATCTTTTCAAGTCAGGACTGAAGCCATCGTCCATGCTTCTGAATTCCAGACGTCTAGATTCTGATTAATTCCAGTCCTCGTCCGTGTGCAAGCATAACTGCGTCCCTGTGGCTCATCTGGCTGTCTCTGAATCCAGGCGGTGGTGGTTATAAAAATGAACGTCTCGTATTAATTCCGGTACTCATGCCTGTATTCTTTGCTTTTGCAGTTGAAAAGGGCAGGCAAAAGAATCCCAGAAGTTTATGTATCCAGACACAGACGTCTCCCGATGTGCTGTCCTCGAAAAAAACACTAGAATTGGCTCAATATAAGACAAAATGTGAAACCCAGAGTGGATTTATCCTGCAGCTCAAGCAGCTGCTTTCCTGCGGCAATACCAAGTTTGAAGCCTTGACGGTTGTCATTCAGCGCCTCCTGGCAGAGGTGAGGACGTGTGCCCTGGAAATTGTCTTCCTCACCCAGGTGGGAGGTGGGGAACAGGGGACAGTGTTCAGGCTGGTGTCTTGTGACTGTCTTTAAGTTAACCATTGGGAGGATCAGGTGTAATCTACACAGCTGTGCTTTGGTCAACTCACCTGATCCCTGAGTCTCCAGACATTTAGGGTGGAAATGTTTTCTTGGTTAGAATGACAATAGCAAAAAGATAATTGCCTGTCGCACTCCGGGGCACCTCTACACCTAACCTAGCATTAACATTTATTCCACTTCATTTCTTATCTCACCGCAGGTAGCTTTCCATGCCATACTGGGTCTAATGCTTTGAAACATAGGTTAATTGTATTTAAAGTTTAAAGGTCAAAGAGCGCTACGGAGGTAACTGTTAGAATCATTTGTGGGGATTCTTCCTTAAATTTCCATCCATTCCTAAAATAATCTGTGGTACGAGAACAGCAAAGCAGATTTTATTTATTCTTTTGCTTTTCTCTGATAATCTACCGGGAAGATTCAGGAGCTGGTTAAAAATTCATTGAGAAAACCAGGTTTTATATGAACATATGTTATTGACATCACGACAAAAACTCTAATGATCTGAGGGGGAAACTGGGATGAGAACATAACTTCAGCTCTTTAGATATTAATATTTTTTTTTTCGCAGTTGTTTTAAAGATGGATAGAAATAATGTCTCAGGCTTGGCCCCAGGGCCAGGGCGCCAGCCACATACCCTGGAGCTGGCGGGTTCAACCGCAGCCCGGGCCGCCAAACAACAATGACAACTACAACCAAAAATAGCCAAGCGTTGTGGTGGGCACCTGTACTCCCAGCTCCTTGAGAGAGGGGAGCAAGAGAATCGCTTAAGCCTAGGAGTTTGGGGTTGCTGTGAGCTGTGATGCCACAGCACTCTACCAAGGGTGACACAGTGAGACTCTGTCTCAAAAAAAAAGAAATGATGTCTCAAAAGAAAAATCTGTACCATTTGGTTGTTGTATGGTTCAGTTCCGTCCAGCAAACTTATGCTGATTTCATACAAAGCCCACTGTGATGTAGTTGCCTCTTTAAGGAGGGGACAGAGGTGAATGAGAAACTTGATTTTCACCTTTGAGGAGCCACCAGGCTAGGAGACAGATGAATGTTTGAATATTTTAAAGCTTTGTCTATGTATTTTTCGAAGAGGAGATGGAGACATTTACTTAGTTTCTTAGTTACGGTAGTATACAGTAGTTTTTTTAATTTCTCTTTTAAAAGGAAAGAAACTCGAGAGTTTTCTTATTTAAGTTTGTTCAATAACCAAGTTAGCTAATTTGGGAAACCACGGAATATCAAATGTAGGGAACAGTTAGCTTTTCTATTTAGAGATAAACTGATTATTTTATCTTATCCCATCCAGCCTAACAGCCCCATCTCCAGCTCTTCCTCTCGAGATCACTTATCACGTCCTGTGAGCGCTCAGCCACAGCGTGCCTCCCCTCCCCATCTTTGCCACTCCCACTGAGGCCATCCTCTGTTCAGACCCTGGATGGCTGTCCTCTAGATTATGATAGCAACTGTTGAACCAGTCTCCAGGCTTGGCTTCTTCTTACTATAACCCATCCCAGGAACTGCTAGCAGCTTTTTTTCTCAAACCATTCCATCTGTTGATTAAAACCTGTGGTTCTCCGTTACCTACAACTACCTTGTTTCCCCGAAAATAAGACACTGTCTTATATTTATTTTTTCTTAAGAAGACACACTAGGGCTTATTTTCAGGGGATGTCTTATAAAAGGTATTCCAGTCTTCCTTACCACTCTGTGCCGAAATGCATGGTGTGGCTATGCAGTGTATCTGGTCTTATTATCACGTCCATCACTAGGTCTTATTATCACGTCCATCACTAGGTCTTATTATCAGGGTAGGACTTATATTTAACAAATGCATAGAAATCCTGCTAGGGCTTATTTTGGGGGTAGGTCTTATGTTCGGGGAAACACAGTAACTAATCTGTTCAATATGGTGGCCATTCTGTGGCCACTGAGCCTTCCAAGTGTGATCAGTCTGGATTCACAAGTGCAACAGGTGTACAGCATACATAAACTTTAAAATGAGGACAAAAATGTAAAATACCTCAATTTTTTTTTCCTGAGACAGAGTTTCAATCTGTCATCCTGGGTAGAGTGCCATGGCATCACAGCTCACAGCAACCTCAAACTCTTGGGTGTAAGCGATTCTCTTACCTCAGCCTCCCAAGTAGCTGGGACTGTAGGCACCTGCCACAACACCTGGCTAAAATATCTCAATTTTTATATTGACACATTGAAATGGCATTGTTTTGTATATATTTATGTTAAATAAAATATCTTATTAAAATTAACTTCATCTTCTTAAACTTTTTTCAGTGTGGCTACTAGGAAATTCAAAATTGCCGGCTCGGCACCTATGACTCAAGTGGCTAAGGCGCCAGCCACATACACCTAAGGTGGCGGGTTCAAATCCAGCCTGGGCCTGCCAAACAACAATGACAGCTGCAACCAAAAATATATATATATGTATAGCTGGGCATTGTGGCGGGTGCCTGTGATCCCAGCTACTTGGGAGGCTGAGGCAGGAGACTCGCTTGAGCCCAGGAATTGGAGGTTGCTGTGAGCTGTGATGCCAAGCACTCTACCCAGGGGGACAGCTTGAGGCTCTGTCTCAAAAAAAAAAAAAAAAAAAAAAAAAGAAAAAGAAAATTGCCTCCATGAGTTACATTATGTTTCTTCGGAAGAAACAAACATATATAACTTGGGCTCTAAAGCTTTCTTGGATTGGGCTCTCCCACCACCCAGACGCTCCAGCTGGGTGTTAAAGGGGTGAAAGAGAAGCCAGAGGAACTTAAGATTTGTTGAATATTTACTAGTGCAAGATAGTCTTGCTCACCTTATTGAATCCTCAGCAAAAACCACAATGAGTTGGAATTTAGAAATAAGAAAATGGAGGCAGAGACTGGTGACTTGCGAGGAGAAAATGTGCTTTCCCTTTATTTTATAGCTAGCAAATATTTACTGATTGCCTAATGTGTACTGGGTGCTGTTATAAAAGAGGTGGAAAGGAAAGATTCAAGGAAGAGGAAAGGTAAGCAATTAAAAAAACTTCCCTTGACCCTTTAGTTTTCTCATAATACCCATTGCAGTAGTACATGTATATAAGCACATGCGTGTTGTAAGTTTGTATTTTCGTATATGTATCTTGTTATTGCTAATCATTTCTAAATGGTTTTGCAGCATTGCATTTTGGGTAAAATGACTGATTATATAGGGCGTCCTCGGACTGTCACTTGTCCTCTTGTTACGAATCTGTTTAATAACTACAGCTTTCCCCCTTCAGTGGTGGCCATATTTCATTACATAGCAAAAGTTCGAATAAATGCCTTGTGTGTCTATGAACCAACATCCTATTCTCAGGACACACCCATGTTAGTTTTAGTTTTCGAATTCTGGATTTATCCGTGCATAATTGGACAGTATTTTGTGAAGACAGACTAAGAGAATGACAATGTTGATGGTAGTGATCTCAGCTTCTTCATAAAAGGGGTGGGTTTCTGAGTAAGCCTGAACAGGACCCAGGTCACCCTCCAAACCTCTAATTCTCTCTCTTTTTTTTTTTTTTTTTGAGACAACATAGTCTTACTTTGTCACCCTCGGTAGAGTGCCGTAGTATCATAGCTCATGGTAACCTCAAACTCTTGGGCTTAAGCAATTCTCTTGCCTCCCCCTCCCAAGTAGCTGGGACTACAGGCACCCGCCACAATGCCTGGCTATTTTTTTGAGACGGGGTCTCACTCTTGCTCAGGCTGGTCTCAAACCTGTGAGCTCAGGCAGTCCTCCCGTCTCAGCCTCCCCTGTGCTGGGATTGCAGGTATGAGCCACTGCGCTTGGCCCCAAACCTCTTATTCTTTAAAATGCCTCCAGATCTTTTTTTGCAAGTGAAATCTAACCTAAAGTTAGATCTGACCTGTACAAAGGTGGGTTTTGAATGACACCAGCGGTCTACTGTAAGTAAAATTGTTTTATTTATTTATTTTTTGAGACAGTCTCACTATGTCGCTCTCAGTAGAGTGCCATATCATCATAGCTCACAGCAACCTCAAACTCTTAAGCCATTCTCTTGCCTCAGCCTCCCAAGCAGCTGGGAACACAGGCACCCACCACACTGGTTTTTTGGTTGAGTTGTCATTGTTGTTCAGCAGGCTGGGGTTGGACTCGAACCCACAGCCTTGGTGTATGTGACCAGCACCCTATTCACTGAGCTATGGGCGCCAAGCCTATTAGTAAAATTGTTGCAATGAAAAAAAATGTAAGGGCACTGAGCACCTCCTTGTGGGGTAGGTGATGGGGAGAAGGTCGGGCCCAGCGCATGTCTGTGCTGTCTGATGCAGCTCTTTTCTGCAACAGTGCCTATGCAGTTATGCTGCTCAGATGCTAGCAAAATTCAGGCACACTGCATTTTGGATGACAGCCAGAGACTAAGGGCCTGTGTCCCAGAGACTCCTAATTCAATTATGGTGAATCCAGTTGTTTTTTCTTCCTTGGAGCACTGCAGATATTTAATGCACGAGTATAAAATCATCTTTCTATCCTGATTCCCACCTTTCTGTTATTTCATACTGTGTGGAATTCTGCATGTTGTATTGCACAGAGAATTAAATAAACATGGTATGTGGACTGTTAAGACTTTATTATCTAAGACAGAAACACTGATCTAGGAGCAGCTGATTAAAAAAATTAAATCAGTATCTAAGTGAGATGGTGCGTTTTATCCTCTACAAGTAAAGGGTAAGTATCCATAGAGAGCAAGTTAGCAGGGAGAATCGGGCAGGAACGAACGCTCAGCATGTGTCTCTTGCGGTCTGGGCATTACGACCAGCATTTTTCATATTTAAAGCCTTAGTTTTTTTCTCCTGTACTGGTTCCCCTCCAGTGAGGTCATCTGCTTTGATAGCTAACCAAAGAATTAGGTCCAGACGTTTTAATTCTACTGAGGTCCCAAGCTCCTTGAAGGCAGGGACTGTGTCTTAAATTTCTTCTGTATTTTTCATAGCATCTACTTTGAAAAAATATTTGGTTAATTGGGACTGAGTAACAAGTTTCCAACCAACCCAGAAGCATCAACGTCCTTTGTAGGCATCTGGGGGAAGGGATGGCGTCCACGATTGACAGTGAGCCTTCCCAGAAGGTTTATATGGTGGGTCAGTAAAGAAAGCCAGACATTCCAGAGGAGGTGGCATTGACAAGCGTGTGGAGGTGACAAATGCAGGGCACATGTGACTTGGACAGAAGGGAGGCCAGGAGTCTTAAACAAGAGCTGGCTGATTCAGGTCCATGGAACATCCAGTGAAGTGTTTTTTTGTTTTTTTTTCATAATGGGCTCAGTGAGAAGCTCTTTTTGAGCAAGAGATTCTATACAAAAAATATGGTAAGGTGGCTCAGGCCTGTCATCTTAGTACTCTGGGGAGCCAAGGCAGGAAGATCACCTGAGGCCAGGATTTCAAGACCAGCCTGGGCAACATAGTGAGACCTCATCTCTACCAAAAAAAAAAAAGCTGGGCCTAGTGGTATGTGCCTATTGTACTTCCAACTACTGGGAGGCTGAGACAGGAGCATCACTTTGAGCCCAAGAGGTAGAGATTGCAGGGAGCTAAGGGGAGGGGGGGGCATTGCACTCCAGTCTGGGTGACAGGGTGAGACTCTGTCTCAAAAAATGTTAAGAACAATTCTATTTTAAAGAATATGGAGTAATGGCTCGACACCTGTAGCTCAGCAGCTAGGGTGCCAACCACATAAATCAAAAAATAGCCAGGCATTGTGGCAAGCAACTGTAGTCCCAGCTACTTGGGAGGCTGAGGCAAGAGAATCGCTTAAGCCCAAGAGTTTGAGGTTGCTGTGAGCTGTGACGCCACAGCACTTTACCAAGGGTGACAAAATTAGACTTTGTTTAAAAAAAAAAAAAAAAAAAAAGAATATGGAGTAATGACCTTTTTAGCCTCTGAAAGGTAAAGAGATGCTTTCCTTGGTCCGGGAGTCTGTTGGCACAGATCAGGACCAGAGTGGGGGTCACACTATAGGAGCATGAAGTTGATTCAGACATGTGATGAAGGGAGGACGGGCTGACCGCTGACTTCTCATTTAGACAGAGAATAAGAGAAGACCCCAAGGTTTTCCTGTTGCTACAACTCCCAGAGGTGGGAAGATGTCAGTAGCTTCTGAGGTATTGAGGACAGAATGGTTGAGTGCCTTGGGGTTTGGGGAAACATCTCCATTTGGACTGAAGTTCCCTGTCCCCAACACTCTTTTAATAAAAAGAATACCCCCTGGGATATGTTTGTGATAGAACATAATGGGGTTCATTAAATTATTCTTTAAAATTATACCATCTAATTTTTGGATTTTTTTTTTCCTCTTCCCTTTAGTTTTCATACATTTGAAAAGTGATTTAATTTTCTTTTCTCTCTTCCTCCTGTTAGCAACTTGGCTACTCCTGGAAAGAGAATTCTAAGTAAATGCACCAAGTAGGTTTCAGAATTTCCTGTGGGTATTTAGTAAAGACGTCATCTGGTTTTCCTGATCAAATTTTCTGATGTTTACTTGACGTAGGTTACTAAATGGATGAAATTAAGGCTTAAATTTGAGATAAGAGAAGCATTCATATTTTTTCCCTTTTATTATGAACCAGGCTGATTTTCCTCAAACTTTAATTTCTACCTTAGAAAACCAATGACTTATTAATTTTCAGAACTGAAGACTTCACTAATACCGCTGATTACCACTGTGTATTTATTTTTATTTTATTTTCATTGTTTGGGATTCATTGAGGGTACAAAGAATTAGGTTATACTAATTGCATTTGTTAGATAAAGTGCCACTAATAATTGTGTTCTGCCTTAATATCACTTTTTAAAAACAAGCGTTTAGGATACCATTGAGGCCAAAAGGTATTCGGTGAAAAAGTGTTCCTTAAATTCCCGTCACTGTTAACTGTCCCCACCACAGTGCTGGTGTTCAGCGTTCACTTTTTTGGCTCTTAATTAATACAGAGTAAAAGTTAAAGCCATATATGATGTCTGATTCTCAAACCAGCACTTCAGACATTTTTTAGTAAAATACCCATGGACCAGGTTTTATACAAATTAAATTTTGAGGGAAACACCATTCATTTCGTAACGTCATTTAAATTTCTAAGTCACAGTCACCCCCTTCCATTGTCCGTCACCTCGTTTATAACCTCATTTGGTATATGGGTTTTGAAGAACAAGTTTCCCTTTTCTGTTATTAAGTGTAATAATCTAATGACCTCAATTAGAGAGGGGAGTGGAAGGGCTCCCTGAAAATAACTCCATTATCCATGCAGAGAGGGTCAGTGGTTCTTTCCACCATTCCAGCTGATATTTAACTAAGTGGCAATCGATCAGTCTAATGTCTGGCTCTCGTTTTTCATAAATGAAGGGCTGTGGCTTTAAGTAATCACAGGCTGCCTGTGCCAAAAGGCAGAAGCTGCAGTATCAGCTTCTGTGGGAGAGAGGAGTCTGAGGCTTACGGTAACCTGCAGGACGTGAAGTCAGGCTGCCCGCGGGCCAATGGCGCACCTCCTGCTGGAGCTTTGAATGTAGACAGACCCGACTGGTGGGTGGCGTGGCCACCTGTGCACTTCTCGGGGAGTGGGGGGGCGGGGGAGTTGGAGACAGAAGCTGGAGAATGGGCTGCTCTGGCAGCAAAATGTGCCTCTATCCTCCCTGTGCAGCAACAAGGGTAATTCGTATTTGTTTATGGTGCTTTTCTGGAAGAGTGTCAGGGGCTACTGCAGAGGTTGTTGTGGAATCGGGGGGAAATGCTTCGAATGACAAGCAACTCTTGCTGCAAAAGCCGGGTCTCATGATCTCCGCGCTACTGTGGTCAAGATGCGGTGAGACTCCGGGGGATCCCGTGAGGGCAGGTTTCAGAGAGCTTTCAAATGTTCTTCATTTTCCTTAGTTACACCCTGGCGCTGGGAAATCTACTTTTAAAGGAACTGTGTCTGGTTACTGTATTTGTATGAGTGTGTTCGATAGTGGCTGCTATGAGTTACTGGCAACTTGAAAACTATGCCTTATGGGGGGGTTCATAATTGCTTTTTTTGAGACTAAATAAACAGCTACCCCAGGGTTTCTTGGGTTTGTTTCTCTCAACATCTGTTTAAACTTAGAGCTGATTCAAAGTACCATGATCTTCAGAAAAGCGTGTGTGGCTGAATAAAATTAAGTTTGTCTTGAAAAGATCATCTTTCTGCTTAGCTTTATAACGAACTTTTTGTCTTTTAGAAGTGAAAGGGCTGGCCTTGTAACAAAAGTTTTTTATTTGCGATTATAGGACAAAGTACATATAAGTGCCTATGTTTAGGACATTAAATATTTATCTTAAACTGATTAGGTCTTTACTGCCCTTGGAGTAGGAGAACAGAAAGCATTATGTCTTAAGTGTGGCATGCATTAGCTGCAAGGGGCTATGGCTCAGCAGGGGAGCATGGGCTCAAAGTCAATATTTTTTAATGGGCCATTCACTGCCTCAAATGAAAGTTTCACTGGGACCTGCGAAAATACAGATTTTTGAAACAATGAATGGCCTTAACAACTGAAGTGGACAACTGTGTTTTTTTAAACAACACAAATTGTTAGCCTAAATGATTTGTATCTTGGCTTCTCAATCCTGGGACTTGTTTTGCCAGCGATAACAGACAACCTTACTGAAAGGGGCCCTCTTGATAATCATGAGTAACTTGATGTGTGTTTTCTGCAGCGGGAGGAAGCACTGAAACAACAGAAGACCCTATCTCAAGAGCTCCTGAACCTCCGGGGAGAACTAGGTAAGAGGTTTTTGGTTTGGGGGAAAGGGAAGGGTTCTTTGTTTTGTGTTGTTTGCTTTGTCAAATTTTACAGGACGAGGGGAAAATCAGGGAAACTTGGTTTTCCCATCTGTACTGTGGCTGGTGTCGCATGCCCGGGCCTGCTGGCTCTCACACTCCAGTTATCTGTGCAAACACTTAACTGTGGACATTTCTTTTGAATCTTGGCAGCTTGACCTCCAGTTCACAGAATTCCTGGCACTGATCTGACTAAGCCCAGCAGAGCTGCTGATGACCAAAACATTTCTCTTGCTCAAGAGAGGTGCACAGGGTGATTTTTGTAATTACATGAATTCCTACTAAATAATTTTTCTTTTTCTAGACCACTTTTCATATTAAGAGTAGTGAGAAAATTTCCTCTCCAATAACCATCATTACATGATACTTCCAAGGGATGGTTTGTGAGTCTAAAGTTGAAAGGATGCTACCTATTAGGACAGCCTGTCTGGGGAAAAAAAAAAAAAGGCATATTCTATTCAAATCCTCCCAGGTGGATGGGGCTGATGGTGAAGATCCTCTCAGCTCCACAGAGGCCATGTGTCTGTGGTACCCACCACACAGCCTGGCTGTTGTCGGGCTGAAGTCTTGATTCCTGTTTCTCTGGGGAGTCCTTGGGGTTCGTGGCACAGAGACAACACCCCCCCCACACACACACACACACTGCCTCTACCATGTGGGAGTGAACTGACTGCCTTGTGGTCCCCCTGTCTGCCCCAGGCTCCTCAAACCTAGAGCAGTGGTTCTCAACCTTCTAATGCCGCGGCCCTTTAATACAGTTCCTGTAGGTCGAGACCCACAGGTTGAGAACCGCTGGCCTAGAGAATCAGCTTCTGCAGATCCAGAGTTGTTCTTTGCAGTGTTCTGTGTGGGCTGGCCGTCTCCACTTAGTCTGCCTAGCTTAGCTGCGTGTGTAATGCAGAGGGAGCAGCCGGAGAAGCAAACTGTGGACATCTAGTTCTAGTTCTAAGCTGTTCATATTTCTCTTGGACGAGAGCAGAGTTTAAACACTGCCAATCTCATTCGCCGGACTTGAGCCCTCTGTTTTCTCACCCCTGCCCCTAAAAATCGAAGCGCAGAGAGGGTGGGCTGGGGCCTTTCTCTCTGCACCCCTCTGCTCTTGGCCTCCTCCTGGCAGGCGAGGCCAAACTCTGAATACCAAGCCCAGACATCAGTCCTGACCTTGTTTTAGACCCTGAAGGACTCTTTTATGGAAAAGTAATTTTAAGGCAGATGAAACTGCAGGACCCCAAAGACTTGGAGAGTTCTAGTGAAAGTTCAAGGAAACCCCCCTAAGGGAGGCAGCCGCAGCTCTCAGAGACTTTTAAGGCTTTATGCCATATCACTTAACGTGACTGCTGCCCTTTTGATGACCTAAATGACCAACCTAATTTGCTTTTTTGCTTGTGCCTTAAATAACGTACCAGATGTAGAGTGGGAAGACCAGGAAAGAGGACTTGTGTGTGTGTCAGAGCTCGTAATAGCCCGGTGGAGGGGGAAGTGAGCTTGCCTCATGGTTCACGTTTCAGCCTCTCTCCCCAGACAAGGCAGAAATGGGGAGACGGAAACACTGCACTCATTCACTCGGCTTGAATGGGGGATCCTCTGTTGACATTTGAGTGGACAGCACCATTCAGGGCCCAGATGCTCGGCACTTCCAGTGAGACAGCCTGGCAGGAAATAGCCATAGCAGTTTGTACCTGCTGTCCCCTTCCCGTGTGTGATAAGGTGCCCTGGCCTGCTGCCGTCCCAGTGTCGGGATGCCACGGTTGGCTTGTCCATATGGGTCAGTCACCCAGCACTGTTAGGGACTGTTTCATCACTGCTCTTAAATCAGGCGGAGTTGCTCTGGTGACATTAGAAAGCATTTCGGGAAGGGTTTGGGGTCTGTCAGTGGAGAGAAACAAAACCAACCATACGATCCCTTCTGATGCCGCAGCCCGGGGAGAAGGCGCTCGGAGTTGCCAGCTGGATCGCTAGTTTTATTTAGCATTGGCCAAGATGGAAAAAGACAGGTTTACACGGCGAAGGTGAAAACTCCATTTTAAACATTGAGGTGGCAGAGCCACAGAGTTAGGACTGTGTTGTCACACTGCTGAGGTTCTCATCTTTGGTACCTGGATGACCCAGAACGGGTCCCTTCTCATGTCCTCTGTCCCGGTTTCATCATCTGTAAAATGGCAGTACTTGTCTGCCCCCAAGGGTGGCACCAAGTGTTTCCTGCTGCTAAATGACAGGTACTTAGATGTACGGAGTCGTACGGCTGTGTAGTAATGAACCACACTGGCTGTTTTATGAAGACGTAAACTACCTATAGACAGGTACGGTAATTAGCCTATTATTAGAAGTCCCTGAGGCCAGGCTCTGGGTGCCCACACGGAAGACAGACTCACCAGCCCTGTGTGGGCACAGTAGAGTTGGGTGTGTGCGGCCAGTAGTCCAGGGTTCTGTCCATCCACACCTACTTACAAGTCACCTAACTTCCTTGAATACAGTTATTTCACTGGCAGTAGGAAGTCACTATGTACTTTGCTGGGTGGTTGTGGGACTTAAATAGTATTATATATCAGCGGTCCCCAACCTTTTTGGCACCAGGGACCAGTTTCTTGGAAGACAGTTTTTCCATGGACCAGGGAAGGGGAGCGGCTGTAAATATAAATGAAGCCTTGCTCCCTCACCCACCACTCACCTCCTGCTGTGGGGCCTGGCTCCTGATAGGCTGTGGACAGGTACCAGTCGCCGGCCCGGGGGTGAGGGATCAAAGCTATATACGAAACAGTGCCAACATGCCTGGCTCATCACAGGTGACCGAAGAAGAGAGCTGCCACCGTCACCATCTCATCATAGTGTCCCCCCAAAACCTCTAAGATTAATGGTGGGGGAGGGGTCTTTCATGTCACTTTCCTACTGGGCAATTTTTCTCTTATCTTTTCTATGAAAATTGAGACAAGGTTCGCAAACTGCTAAAAACTATGAAGGCTAAAGGACAGTTCATAAACTCGGGAGCACTGAAACTCAAGCACAGTCTGTGCTTTTGACCTTCAGACTCACAGCCTTCATTTGTCCCCATCATCAACTGACTTTCCCATCATCGTCACACTCGTACTCTGACCAGTGTCCTCAGTGCTGAGTGCAGACAGCCTGTCTCTGCCATCACAGTCACGGGTGACTCACACCTGTGATCCTGCCACTCTGGGAGGCCCAGGTGGGTAGATTGCTTGAGCTCAGGAGTCCAAGACCAGCCTGAGCAAGAGCAAGACCTTGTCTCTACTAGAAATAGAAAAACTGAGGCAAGAAGATCGCTTGAGCCCAAGAGTTGAGGTTGCTGTGAGCTGTGATGATGCCACGGCACTCTACCCAGGGCAACAGCTTGAGACTCTGTCTCGAAAAACAAACAAACAAACCTCAGTCTCCTCAGAACACAGAGCATGAGGGTCTCCTGGTTCCAGGGATCCCTGGACAGTTTACATTGATGAGCTTGTATTTTCCTATTGTCTTCAGATAGTAAAATCCTTAATTGTAGGGATACTTTCTTTCCTGCTTCCTATGGAGGGGGAAATAGAATATGCTTTTTGTTATTGTGAGTAAATGATAAATATTTATGGGCACTTGAAGTTTTGAAGCTTCTTTTTATTTAAGAACAGTGTATAAAAGTTGAAAATTTTTAAGTGAGAAGAACACAGCCTGTAGCTCCACCCTGAGCTATGGGAGCCACCAGTACTCTGTGGGTTTTATGACAAACGATTTAAAAAGAATATTTCTGTCTTTAGGAATGGATAATAATAAACAGTGAGCTCTGCTTTCCTTGGGAACGTTTTATATTATGTCTAACAGTCCCAGTTAATCAGCAGATCATTTGAAAGTATCAGCCTTTGAAAAGATTGCGGTTAAATTGAATGGTCTAGATCCACAGCGAACATTTTGCCTCTAGGATATGGGGTAAATATGTCATTTTGAGTCTCTTTAGAGTTGTGCTGAATAAAAACTGGCACGAGAGAAAGCCATCAGTATTATTTGGGGGTTCCTGTTGCTTTTCATTAACGGTAGTCCTTAGAATCACGTTTTTCATCTAAGTTAATGAGGCGAAGGTATTTTGTATTTCAAAATTATGATTTAGCCATCACAATAAACAGCTAACCTATATCTTTTTATATATTGGTCCTGATGATTTCTATTTCATGAAGCAAATGAGATTTTAATCCTTAATTCACTAAACATGCCTGGCATTCCCGTAAGAATTAGCTAAAGGACTAGTTGATTTTGCTGTTTATGTGTAAAAATTATGACCTGGGTGTAGCAGTAACATGTACTGGCTGCCTACTCATTTCTCATTTTGCCCTTTATTTAGAGAGAAAGAAGGAGAAAAAAAAGAGAAAGAAAGAAATTGAGGTTCAGAAGTTAAGTAACAATTCCTAAGGCCAAACAGCTAGAAAGCAGAGAGCTCAAATAAGAAGCCCAGATGGCTAGACTAAAAAAATTGTGATAATATCACAGCAGGGAAGGCTTGATGAAACTATTTGAAAGGTTATCCAATTATTTGAAATTAACCCTAGTTTTTATTGAGAGCTACTTCTGAAATATTTTTCTTCTGATCAAGGGTTTAAGAAATAGTGTTTAATTAAAATATGTCTTATCTACTAAGGGAAAGTAACTTGCAAAAAAAAGGATATTGCTAAAAGGAGTATACAGCTTGTCTAATCAACACTTAACTGGTGTCTATGAACTTCAGACTACCTGACACCTTATGGAATGTGTTAATTTTCTCATCTCCCCTATTTTGTCTACAGTTTTGGTTTAGCAAGGCTGTGTCTTTAAAGTGACTTAAAAACTCCTCACTTTTGAGCTGTAGAATTCCAGAAGTGAGGCTTGGCGCCCGTAGCACAGTGGTTATGGTGCCAGCCACATACACTGAGGCTGGCGGGTTCAAACCCGCCTGGGCCAGATAAAGAACAGTGTCAACTGAA